GCGCTCTCCATCGTCGACGCCATCAACGCCCCATGCTTCTCCATGCACTCGCTTAAGGCCTCGAATATCTGCTGCCGCACGTTTTTCCTCTTCCTGAAACCGGCCGGACTTCCAGTCGTCTGGGAGGTCCCACGCGCTAAGTTGTCGTCTTCGTCGTTACCATCTCCAGCGACATCCCCGTCCCCCACAGATTCGGGAGTCGCTGACTGAGCAGATGGGAGTTGCACACCTCCTGCGCCACCGGTGTCTGCAACATTGTTCGGGCTGATAGTGTGGCTCCTCTCCTTCGCCCCTTTGATCTCCTCGTAGACGGCCCGATCCATGTTGAAGCTGAATCCTTTCTCTGCCCTCTGTTGACTCATCAACTGGAAGAAGTCCTCCTTCCTCGGCATGCCCATGAAAGTGTGGATCTTTTTTAACTGTTGCATGAGATTATCCCATTTTTTCCCGCATTTGTTTGTCGGCCTGTCAACACTGACCTTCAGCAACCTCTCCCGGACGTCCAACCATTTCCACTCCCTCGACTGCTACCGTGCGAATGCGTGCCCCGCCGCTTGCAGCTGGGCGTCCTGATCCCGCTTCGCCCTTATGAGGGCCACCATGTGATCCACAGACCAGAAATTCCGGCCACCCTCCCCATCCCCCTCACCTTTCGCATCAGCAGAGGTCGCCGACGGCCTCTTCCGCCTCCGCCCAGCATTCGTCGAAGCCCTGCCTCTGCCGCCCCTGCCACCCATGTTCAGCGCACGCAACGGAAACACGTCACCGCTGTCGTCCTCCTCAGCGTTGCACTCAACTTCGTCACCGTCTGTCCAGATGTCAACCCCCCCGCCAACCGCGTGTGCATGCCCGGCCCGCTCCCCCACGCGTAATCGCTGCACACCTTGTGTTATGGACTCTTCTTGCTGCCGCCGCAACTCCTACCTCGACTCCTTCCATACCCGCCTGCCATCTCCATGCGCGCCCTCAAAAGGGAAGTCTTCCGCACTCACACCCCGTTCAATTGGACGAGGAACAGTGTCGCGGCCCCTGGAGAACGCAGGAGGGGGGTTCATCCACTCAGGGCGACCAGCGGTGGTGCGTGGAATTGACGGGCCAGAAGTCGCCTGCACTCGAGGCCGCTCTCTCGTCTTCTCGGACGTCTCCTGAGGTGCAGAACCACCCCTCGTGCCCCTGCCGACCAATGTCACCTGCCCCGCGTCGTCGTCGGGATGAGGGTTCACGAGCACAGTGTGTGTGGCAGAAGATGGGCTCCCGCTCCGCCTGCCAAATGTAAGATCCACAGGGGGGAGGCGTTCCTCTTCCTGGGCACCTTCGTGGAGGAGGGAAGTGAACGACTGCCTGTACTTCGCTCCGAGCCGATCAAACAACTGGCTACCCGTCCATTCGTGGGTCGACCCGCTACCCAGCGGAACTGTGTTGGACACGTCCACGTCCGCCTCCCCCTCGTCCGAATCGGGCAGAGGCTGCATGTGAGGCGGGAGTCCTTCGTACGGCGACGGACCTGCCGCCCTTCTGTCTACACCGGTGCAGATCGCAGGCCGGTGGCTGGGATAAGTGTCGAACAACGTGGCAACATTCGGCCGCCGCCCGTCCATGGCCACGCTCTTCCTCACCCCTCGTTTCCTGCGAGTATGTGAAGGCAACCTCCCCAATATGCACACCTGAACAAAGACGACAACTACAAGCAGAATCACGACGAGGAGGACCAGCGGCAGCTTGCGGAGCACGTCGGCCATATAACACAACCGTTCTCGCAAGGGCAACTAACGACGACAACGCACGACAACGTAACGTCTACCCAGACGGCGGCAAACAGCAGGCGTGCGTGGGCACGACTGCCGACGCCCTCTACCGCTTTACATTGTGGACCACTGCGCGCGGTGACGGACATACGCCGCTGTCATTTTCGAAACGGCTGGCCGTTGGAGGCGTTCCCGTTTCCCGCCGGCGCTGGTGAGGGGCAGGGATAAACCGGCAACGGCCAGGGACCCCGTCCGCCACCCAACCTTACTGTTGCGGTCGTTCCCGCCGGAGTCGAACGTTGCCGGCCGCTAATGTCCGCCCGCACCTCGGCTGGACCAGCAATGTACCAGACTACAAAATTTTGACGTCGTCGAAGAGCGCCGCCGCCGTCCCGAATTTCGCGGAAACTCCCACTCCGAGGGACCTCGCGAGGTACCTTGGGGAGCACAGCCAAATGCCTGTAGTCCGAGGACGGCCCGAGGACGCCCCGAGGAAATGTTTTCACATTGTTTCCAAGGAACTCTCTCCGAGGACAGATGGAGCGATCATTTCCTCGGGATTTTTGTGCGCCCGAGGAGTGTCTAACGAGCCCCTAGATGCATACTACACCGTCTGCATTTAATTTCTACACATCTCAACAAACACGCCCAGATTAAGGCATGAAATCCAATCCGTTTTGGTAGTGGAACTTCGCCTCATGTGGGGTACTCCTTTTTTTTCCATGACGCATTCCATTATACAATGCCAGCTTTTCTTTTGTGTTTTTTTAGAATGCAACTTGCCAGATCATCAATAATTCTTTTTCCCTGGCATGCAGTTAAGCAG